TTCTCCCATGGAACAGCTGGTAGTTTCAAACTGCTGACCTTGTGGTTCATTCATCAAAAAAACTTACAGTCTTAATGTGTAAGCATTAGATAGATTTTGAAAATACGTGAAAGAAAAGCTGATGAAACTGAAAGGAGAAATAAACAAATACACAAATACAATTGAAGTGTTAACATTTCTCTCATTTGATAGAAAAAGAAGACCGAAATCATTAAGGATCTAGAAAATCTGAACAGTCCATTTGACCTGATTTCACTTTAAGTAGACTGTATTTTCTTGTTGAATTTTTTTTAATGCTTTATTGTGAATTATGTGGAGGGAGGCCTTGGCCTTGTTTTGATATGAAGTTTTTCCACTATCTTTTCCCACAGATGTAGTCAGTTTGATTCCTATGTATTCCGTCTGTGCATTGTTACCTTTTATGTTGTTGGGAAAAGGTATTTGTAATGAATAAGTCATTGGTCTTACAAAATTCTGTCTTGCAATCTCCAGCATCGTTTCTGTGACAACAGCCATATTTCCCACCAATTAATTCTTCCTCTTTGTTTGCAATCTTTTGCATTCTATTCACCAGTAATTATCAATATATATTGATTGCATGTTTGATCAATTTTAGAGTGAAAAAGTTGATAGAATTCTTGGAATTTCATCATCACTGACTTTAGTGGTTGGGGCATAAATTTGAGTGATAGTGGTATCAGCTGGTCTTCTTGGTAGGCTTATGGGTATCATCCTATCACAGACAGCGTTGTATTTTAAGATAGACCTTGAAATGTTCTTTGTGATGATAAATGCTATTCCATTCCTCTTTAATTTGTCATTCTCAGCATAGTAAGCCATATGATTGTCATATTTAAAAAGGCCAATACCAGTCCATTTCATTCCACTGATGCCTAGGATATCAATCATTTTGCATTCCATTTCATTTTTGACAGCTTCCAATTTTCCTAAATTACTACTTAGTACATTCCATGTTCCAACCATTAATTCATGTTTGCAGCTGTTTCTCATTTTGAGTTGTGCCCCATCTGTAGACGAAGGTCCCCAAAAGTTTACTCCATTCACATCATCATGGTCAACCCTACTTTGAGGAGGCAGCGTTTCCCCAGTTGTATTCTGAATACCTTCCAACTTGAGGGACCCAACTTTCTACACTTTATCTGTCAATATTCTGGTGGTTTTCCTAATGTTTTCATCTTTGGACACTGTACGTAATAATGCTCTGCTGCTATTCGTAAGGTTTTCAGTGGCTAACCATTCAGAAGTGGTCTGTCTCTCTTCCTAGTCTGTCTTAGTCTGAAAGCTCCACTGAAACCTGTCCACCATGGCTGACTCTGCTGGTATTTCAAATACTGGTGGCATAGCTTCCAGTATTACTGCAACATGCAAACCACCACAGTACAACTGACAAACAAGTGGTGGACCAGGGCTAATAGTTGATTCAGTATATAAAAATTCAAATGTAAGAGATGTTGTTATTATTGCTAATTGCTGTTCCATTGATTCTACAGACTGAAATAGCTCCATTGCTGTGACCTTTTGGAAGCAGATCCCCAGGTTTGCCTTATGAGGCATCTCTGGATGGGTCAAGCCTCCACATTTTTGGCTAGTCAAAAGATATATGTGATTGCAGTTTAATTTGAATTCAACCTTATTTTCTTATTTTTCAGAAATTTGGCACCTAAATTTAATTGTCTAGAGGCAGATGAAAAGAAGTATAGCAAGCATACTGTGAACAGCAGGTAAGAGGTATTTGAAAACAGAGTTTTATGTACATCAAAACAATTTTATTTCCATATGACAGTTTCATTGCTTTAGCATAATTGAATCCATGAAGGATCTTTGTCTCATAGAACAGTAATGTTTGTTGTTAGGTGCCATTGAATCAGTCCTGACTCATAGCAATGCTATGTACAACAAAATGTAACACTGCCCTCCTAACAATCATTGTTACATTTGAGCCCATTGTTGGAGCCACTGTGTTAATCCTTCTTGTTGAGGGTCTTCTTCTTTGCTAAATAGAATATAGTAAATGTAGGCCTGTGTGATACTTATATGGAGTTCAATGATGTCTTTGAATCCATTGAAGTTTGTCATACTGAAAATAAACACGTTGGCAAACCAATGATTTCCAAAAAAAGATATGTGACAGGCATCCTCAGAGAGTTAGAGGGAGCTGAAAGCACAGGGCTCCAAAATCAGAATGATGCTTTTGAATTTGCTTTCCAGTTTATAGCTCAATTCCAGATTTCACTTGCATGAAAGATTTCTCTCCTGCATATCATGTTTAATGGAGTCCTGTTGTAGTGCCATAGGCTAAGCACTCAACCTCAAGGTTGGTTTGAACTGCAAGGCAAAAGGTTCAAACTCACCAGCTGCTCCTCGGAAACCCTATACATGGTCTCTATGTGTTAGAACTGACTTGATGGTACTTAGCAACAATATGTAACCTTGCTTGCTGAAAGTGAAGAGGACTTCAGTACTTACTAATGAAGCTCAAAGACTACAGCTTTGGTATGGGTTGCATCTCAATGTAAAGAAAACAAAAACCTCACCACTGGACCAATTAACAACATCCATCGAAATGGAGAAAAAATTGAAGTTGCCA